GAACCAGAGCTGAACCAACAACAACAACAAGACTACATCAAGACTGCAGCCAGAACTATCTCCACCTGTGGCATCCAGAACCAAACCAGCATGCTGACATACAGAGAGATACTCTCATCGGTCCCTCAAACAGGACATGAAGTTCCAAACTGCGCCGCGAGATTTGGCACAATAGACATGAGAGCAGAATCCGCCCTCCATAAAAACAGCAGAGAGACTGTAAAGGAGGAGTGCAACAACAGTGGCATGATGGGGCTGCAGATGTGACTGGGCCAATGGCGGCCTACAAAAGTTACAGCGGATGGATTCAACAGCTGATGGACTGAAGAGAAGACAGAATCAGAGGAGTTGGCAGGGTCGATTAGAAGTGAGGAGGCCGGGGTCACGGCTTGAGAAAACCAGGGGAGGAGGAAAGGAGAACGGGAATGAGTGAGTTTACACATAAACACACTTATTCACGAAACGCACATTTAAATAACTTGAATTAACTTCATAAAGACAGAAAGATTTATTAATCATTTGATAAATTAAAAATAGCAGTAAAGAGGAAACTATTAAAGTAAGATGATAATCATCCTAAAACACACTGACAGAGTAGAACCATATTCTTCAATATTTTCATCATGTTAACAAATCATTCTTTAAGACATTTTTATTCACGTGTGAATAAAGTAGTGATCTCATTGGTTACAATATTGATCACCATTATAAGGATAGTTTTAGGAACCACTCTATAGGACAAATCTTTGTTTGTATTAATGGCTAGTGCCAAGCCACATATTAAATTCCAATCTAGAGTGTTGATTTCACCATTGTGGCATAGTTATTACCAGACTTCGGTTTTAAATCCTTGATAAAGGAGGGAGTAATTGTTGCATGTTCGGACACCCAAGGTTCCACACACTGCTAAAGAGTTTAACATCGTTTTTTAAGTAGACCAGAATTATAATGAGCTATGAAATGCAGAGCGACACAGATCCTAGTAATGTTTTGACTCAAGATAATAGTTATTGTAGACAAGTTTCTGAAATAGATCATTAGACATTTTAATACTAATTAGGTGTAATTGGATTGCAGTAGTAGTGGTACTCGAAGGAAGTGAGTTTTGTACCAAGTTTCAGGAAAAGTGGGAGGCGGAAGTCCCAATGACAAGTGAGAATCATCTTGAAAATTATAGTTGAAATTGTGACATATTTTTGTAGACAAAGGATACTGGCCTATGCTGAAATGTCAAAGTCTCTGCAGAGCACGACACATGGCCAAAAAAGACGGAGACCAACTGACCTTTGACCCTGACCGACAGTGTAACTTGACAAGGCACTGTGGATGACTGACTCTGGGGTGAACCTGACCAAACTTGACATGACAACCAGACAGTGTGAGTGTGAATGAATGCCGGCATGTGATCAGTGTAACTGCATGATTCTAAAACAATAACTAACCAAGCATGTTTTTGGACTAACATATTATTTTGGAGCTCCAAGGGAAACGAGAGGTTTCCTAAAAATTCCACAAAAAGGGGAAACCGCACATGTGATATTTTACTCTCACATGAGTTGGCGGTTTGCAAATGTAAAACTACAATCTGAAGGACGGAGAGGAACACTTCTTTTCACTGAAGTGTTCACTGTGGAAATAATGATAATAATGTTCGTTATGTTCCTAACCAATTACCTGACAGTTTTTGTTCCCCTCCCATTACAGGCTTTTGTTACACATGATTTCATGTGTAAAAGGGGGGAGTGAGTATAATGTATAAATGTTAACATGGCTGTAAAATTCACAATTTACATTTTTCTTTTAAGGATTGACAGAAACCTTCCGCCCCAACCCAGATGTTCAAACTGAGCATTGAATGTAATTAACCTGCTCCATATCTGGGGATAAGATACTGTTTGATGAAGGTTGAGATGTTTCTAAATATTGATTTGAATTATAACAGGTAACAAAGAAGCAGTGGCCAAGGGGCTACTGTGAAACCGAAGAAGTTGACCTGTGATAATGAAACAATTTTGTAATATTTTAACAGACATTAGAGTAACTGAGGTTTGAAATGTAGAAAGAACATATTACAGTTAAAGCTAAAACATAGTAGTGTATTGAGACAGAATTTAATTTAGACAACATCATGTAACTAGCCTGGTAGAGGAGTAAAAGCCATAGACTTTATTGTTTAGGTCATTATAGGGATATACATTTCATCTAAATTTATAATAGAAAGACATTTGATGACAGTTTGTTGGAATTCTGTATTCATTTTTTCAGCGTGATAATATCTAAGCACTGACAGGTAGAAGCAGTATCACCAGGAAATCATTCACTTTGTTAGTATCGTGATTTTGGTTGTTTTTGAATCCATAACATTAGTGTGTTTCTTTGCCAGAAACATTAGCAGTTCATATTATATTTGGATTTTAAATAGGATTTCATTTAAAAATAAACACAGATGCTTGTCAGAAATTCAGAGCTATTGAAATATGTTATTTAGTTTACCTAAAGATGTTGAGGTTCTTATTTAGTTGGCACAATCCAAGTATTAAGATTCTGAAGCTGCACTGGCAGATACGAGGTCTACAATTAATTTGGAAAACCTGTTCACAGACGGCTGTTGTTTCAAGACACCCCAACAACAGGCTCCAAGTGGGGCAAAACAGCTGAGCGTAGGCTTGAGGGAGTTGTATCAGATTTCTCCACACAGGTCACCGGCGCCAAAAGGGGGACCCGAGAAGCACGAGGACAAAGTGGCTCAACCCCAGGCTCTCCGACCCCGACCGAGTGACCCAGCGGACCTCTTATGCCGTCTGCCTGGGAGAAAAGGGGGACAGCTCGTACCACGGGAGCCAGTGTGCGGCGGGGAAACCACCTACTAGGACCAGGGGACGACATCAGGACGGACGTGGCCCTGGCAGACGTGGACTACTCGGAAGCAGCAGACTGGAGGAGCAGGACCCTGGAGACATCTCTACAGCATCGACCCGGAAGCCGCCATCAGCGGGCCGGAGGACGAGAAGGAGGAAGACATCTCTCTAGCAGGCAGCCCAGAAGCTGCTGTCAGCGGATTTGGGGAGACAAAGACACGGCAAGCCAGGACGGCGCAGCAGAGGAGTCTACTTCGCTCTGATCAGTTCTACCCGTGAAGGGAAAGCTGCATCTCCCCCTCCCTATTAGCTGTCCTTGTGGGCTATTCCTCGGGGGGGGGGGGGGGGCTGATGATTCTAGCACTCAGCTACCCCCTCATGGTTCCTTCACTGCCATGGAAAGTGGTGTTCGGTCTCCATGAAGGTTTCAAGTACTCTGAATACCAGCTTCGGATGGATTTATGGACACAGTAGAAAATAATGACAGTGGGTATATTTCAAAATGCCTTGTCTAAGTTTATCTCTGGAGAAGGAGATAAAAAGGGGGATTTGTAGAGTTATATTTGTATTTATTCATGTTAGCAAACTATGGATAAGCTTAAAATGGGAATAATTTGGGTAAAACTGTGAGCTGCATTTGGGGCCTGTTGACATGTGTTTTTGAGGACAAAGGAAGATGGGGGAAGGTGAGAGCATGTCCTGATTTGCATTCAACTTAGATCTAGCTGCAGTGTTTGTGATGTTAAGAGAGGTCCCTTGGGTTTCTCTGGTGCTTATCAATAGTAGCAGTTAAGTGAATACTGTTCAAACAATACCTGTGTTTGTGTTTTATATTGATTTCTCTGTTTTATCCTTTCATAAATGTAAGGACTACAAATGGCTATAAACATTCTGGGCTGGTTGGAGTAAACAGGGTTTTATGGCTCTGTGGGGGAGGTGTAGGTATGCAGGCCTTGAGACCTTTTGTTGTAAAGTGAACCTGTTTGGTTTCCTGCTGCGTTTCCTGCTGCGTTGCGTCTCCCAATGAGATGACCTGAAAAGATGACCAGCTGACCTAACACCAAACCCCTCCTTCTTACTCTGGTATATCTCCGGAGGATCCCTGGCGTTCGGCCTCTTCTTCACATGCTGCGCTCGGGTGAAAGTAGCTCTGCAGTATGCGGACTAGAGCAGGAGTAAGCCGGCATTACTCCTTAAGCATTGCAATATAACTGTAATATATCATGTTGTATTGTAATGATTGTATTGCATTGTCATATTGCCATTAAAGTAGATTATTGTTAACGGTTACTTTGTAGATATGGATTCCTTCCTGTATTATAACCAGCTTCATAGGAACGCGCGGAGATTTGAAAAGCGGACCAGTTATCCCTCCAAATCTCTAACAGTGTTCATTGAAATCCTCTGATGTAAAAGGATGCTAATTATGTTTTTAAACTTCTATACTTTACTTTTCTTCTTAGCAGTGTTATTCCGTATTTCACTGATGAAATCAGACTGAGACCAGTCTGGAAACGATCTGTAATAGCATTTTCAAATTGAGCACATTAACAATCCCTTTGACCCAAGAGTGATGAATTGCTTGTACTTGAAGCCCATTTGTTACAGCCTTATCTCTGAGGGCGCTGTTAAGAGGACTGAATCATCCAGACTGCACTGGAAATGAGAGAAACACAAACACTGAAGATTTGAGCTATGACTTGGGTACTTTTGTGGCTTTTCCTAAAACATGTTGAGTGTCTGTGTCCAAACAAATATATTTTGCCCAAAAACATATTGAATGTGTTTTAAAAAATGACATTTCAGAGAGCTTACTCACATTTTGAGTACAAACATACATTGAAATGCTTTAAAATAAGCTTATAAACAATATTATTACACGGCTTAGTTGTATACTCGATTCTGATTGGTCAATTCAGAACATGTGACACGTGGTTAATACAGTAGTACAGACCGCTGTCAAGGACTATAATGACCGTTGCTAAGGAGGATCAAGGGAGAGAAAGGAAAATAAGTTAAAAGACGGACGGAGCGCTGGACGTCAGATACATCAGCAGAAGCAGAAGGACTTATTGATTGCATGAATAAATATATTCATCAAGTGTCGCACCAAGTGTCCTTTGTGTTTGAAGAGCAAATCATGGCCGGTTGGCTCAGTTGGTTAGAGCGTGATGCTGTTGACGCAGAGGTAGCGGGTTCGATACCCGTACTGGCCAAGCATAGATTTTGAAGCGGTGGTTTGAGGAGACTTGCGCTGGAAACTGGAGGGTTGCCGGTTCGAGTCCCGATGTGCACAACACTGCCGAATTGCTCAATTTAACACATGACATAGCGCTTGAGGGACATGCCGAATTAAAGAGTAATATGGAATGATACAATTAAATGTATTATAAAAATATATTCCAGCAGCATAACACAAAGCAAGTTACTAATTAAAAGAGTAGAAATAAACAATTCTAAAATAGAAACATCTCAAAATAGAAATAGAAACAAACCAGCATTAGAGAGTAAGACAGATATACTGATGACCGTTCAGATAACACATCTATAAACTGACTGACAAATAAAAACACTATTGGAGGGCCATTATATGGTTGACAAAAGTATTTTGAGGTATGGATTTAATATATTTAAAGAAAAGTATTAAATGTTCAAATGTCACAGTTCTTAATAATTGCAAATATATATATATATTCATCCAAAGTGTCACACCAAGTGTTCCTTGTTTTTGAAATTATGTCAAAAAAACACTAGAAAATGTGGCCGGTTAGCTCAGTTGGTTAGAGGGTGGTGCTAATAACGCCAAGGTTGTAGGTTCGATACCCGTACTGGCCAATGAGATGTTTTAGGGCTCTGATTTGTTGGGACTTGGCTTGGCAACCGAAGGGTCGCCGGTTCTAGTCCCGGACACACAGAGGCCGTTTCTCAATGTCGAGTAAGGCTGCTCCAGAGCCACTATTTCAAGCATACTACGTCATCGAGTGGCGCCGAAGGACAGTTTAAATGCCCAGCATACATGTGCTACCAAGCACGCCTCCTCGACATTGAGAAACGGCCAGAGTATGGACCGGGAGCTGAAGAGGTGCCAGTTCACCTGCTGGTCGCTGCCGAAGTGTCCAACCAAAGTGTGTTAGTCCTACTGCTTCTCAGAGATGTCAAAAGTACACACATCCTTTACTCAAGTAGATGTACAGATACTCGAGTTTAAAAATACTCTGGTGAAAGTAGAAGTACTGACTAAACTTCTTTACTCAAGTGAAAGTAAAGAGGCTTTGAAATGTACGTAAGTAAAAAGTACCCATAACTAGCAGCTGTTTTAAAGAGTACCTGACCTCCCTTTATATTAATAGAACAATAATGTCATTGTTAGCTAATGAATGTTTCCATGCTGAACAACGGCAACATGACAACGTTTCCATTGGTCCCTCTTCTTTAGAGAAGACCAGGAAATGATGGATACATGGATCGTGTTCAAATCAATAGGCACGCAATGACTCTGAAGAATAATGATCACGCATCAAACACACATTCAGACTAAAGGAACCAACCAGAAATATGTACTTAAGTACAGTAACAAAGTACTTGTACTCCACTACTTCCCAACTCTGCTGCGTCTGCATCTATGTTCACCTACTTGTACCTGCTGTAGTAGTGTGGATAAGATAAGATAAGAAGTACTTTATGATCCCAATTTTGAAATGTGTTGCGTTGCAGCATCATACAAAAACATAAAATAACATAAAAAGACTGGAAATAAACATTCCAAAATGTAAACATCTCAATAGAAATAAAATAGGATGCTGTCCATGGTGCTGATATTGAAATGATCTGTGTGCACGCTGTGCCCTCCAGTGGCTGAGTGTATAAAGCATGCCTGCTCAGGGAACAGGTGGAACATTAAATGACTCTATGTTTGTATAACAAAGCACCTCTGGCTGGCAGCGAAGTCTCTGCTCCATAGTTTCTCTTGGACTAAAATCATATTATATTTTCTACTTTCTTGTTTATTTGTTGTCTTTTAATTGTTATTGTACAATTCCATGTCTTTGTATGCTGCTGCAACACAAACATTGCCCAAATTAGGATCAATATGGTACTTATCATCTTATCTTAATGGGACAAAGTGACAGTGAAAAGTGTAGGTACTGTGGAGTTAAATAAAGTGTGGAACATATTGCAATATTTATGAAACAAAGAAGGAGACAAACTAAGCTCAGTGATAGGGTCAGAGAGGCAGGAAGGGAGTGGAGCCTGCTGGGGAAACAAGATATACAAATATGTTTGTATTATTTTGGGTGAAACATGGCTGATTAGAAGAATTTAAAAGAGTTTAAACATGGTTGTATACTTCCACGAGTGGTGATTTGGTGACATGATGAGGCACACTAGGTGGCGGCGGGGGCCTTTCCTGGACCTGGAAACATTTGGGGCATAGCCCACAGTGGCGGCGCAAGAGATTTTCTTTTGGGGGTGCTGTGGGGTAGCTTGACGTTTCATAGAGGGTGCTCTACATTTAGGGTTTCCCATTAATGCACCGGGGGCTACAGTGGAACTTTCTACTGCAACACTCCCCACGCATACACACAGTGTACCCGCGGCTGTTACAATGAAGGCTCGATAATCAGCTCACGGCATATAGCAGGGGTAAAGTGCTATTTTTATAAGTAGGGAGCGGACCTAACCTCCTCTAGGGGGGTCCGGGGACATTCTCCCCCGGGAAGATTTTTTTTAAATATTGAAGTTAAAAGCATCAATCTGGTGCACTTTGAGAGCAACATGAAGAGATCTATGGATACATCTCTCAACACTCAGATGAAACACAACTGTAAACAAATTTATTTTTCTTTATGGATATTTTACAAATCACTCCCCTTTCAAACTGTATTCTTGTTTTACTGCCATATAGTATTTCATAACTGTTTTTCCTTTATTCTCTTATTTTTTTTATAACGATAATGATCATATGAAGGTGTGCCGCGGAAATAATCGTTTACATAATTCGTGACCAAACCGTTTGAGACCCACTGAGATAACTTAGACTAAAGTTAACTAACACTCAGAGAGTCCTTTAGCTCACCTGAGCCTCTCGGACTGAGAGGAGAGCTCTCCTCCAGCTTGTTGTGGAACCAACAGCTCCGTATGTCCGTTAGTGCAGCTAGCTAACCAGCTGCTAACACCACGGTCCCTGCTGCTGGCACCGGTGCGCTCTCTCTCTCTCTAGTGTCTTGCCTCTGTTGCATTCACTGAACACGGGAAATGACAACCCTGCCGTCCTCTAAAAGAAATTATATGTTTTCGCTGTAATAGTTTTGACATGTATCTTGATTGACTCTGTTCTAATCAGGTGAACATCTCCTCTGAAAACACCCAAGAGAGGACGACCATCTTCAGGCAACGGGAGCCCAGCAGCGACGGTGACATCAAGGAGCCCGTTGAATGCTCAGAAGAGACCCTCCTCAGAGACCCTCCAAGAGATCACAACCTCCACTGGATGTATGCAAGGACCTAGTGGCACATTGTCCAGTGAAGACCAAGAGAGACACTGCAGTAAAGGGTACACAAACACACAATGCATCAAGTGTGACGTCCGTCTGTGCTTTAACGACGATAGGAACTGTTTTTGGGACTACCATTGTTTTCATATTTAATAAATGACTATTCATAACAAATATGACTGATTATTATTCCTGCTACTGATATAGATAGATAGATAGATTCAACTTATACAGTACAGGTACCATGTAACGAAACGGTTTCTCTGCATTTGACCCATCCTGGTGTTAGGAGCAGTGGGATGCCATTTTGTACGGTGCCCGGGGAGCGGTGTAGGGAATGGTGCCTTGCTCAGGGACACCTCGGTAGCACTTGGTCTTTCCGGGACTTGAACTGGTGACCTTCCAGTTGCCAAGCCAAGTCCCTATGGACTTCGCCACCACCGCCCATATAGGGCTAAGTAAGCAATCAATCCTGCAAATCAACCCTTAGTTGTTCAATATATGTATTCAGACAATGTGAGTAGAAATACAGGAATTCTGCTATAAGCCCAACGTTGCAATATTACAGCGTTTCCCTAAAAACTTACCAAAAGGTAAAAAATGTAAAAACTCCATAATTTCTACAAAAAACATCTGAAAGGTCAAAAAAATAAATTCTAATGTTTTTCTATATTTGGGATTTACAGGGTTACACTCTTAGTTTTGCTTGATTCTGAGAAAGTGTTGCTTTATCTTCAATCAATCAATGTTTATTTATATAGCCCAATATCACAATGTTACATTTGTCTCAGTGGACTTCACAGTGTGTACAGAATATCTGTCCTTAGACCCTCTGTCCTTAGACCCTCTGTCCTTAGACCCTCACATCGTACAAGGAATAACTTCCGGAGAAACCCCACAGTTTAAAGGGAACATGGGAGAAACCTCAGGGAGAGCAACAGAGGAGGGATCCCTCTCCCAGGACGGACAGACGTGCAATAGATGCCGTGTGTAAATCGAAGAGATAATACATTTGCAACATAGGTAGTCCAAATGTTTGGAAATGCATGTGTCTGTAATAAGAAGATGAATCCACGAGGATGTCAGCTATCTTGTGGGAGCCATCAGTGAAGCAGTATGGTGAGAGTCAGGCAGGACCGCAGAGACAGGTTCAGCCACGACTCGAAGTCCAGGACTCAGATCCAGAACTCAGGGTAGAGGATCCAGAACTCAGGGTAGAGGATCCAGGACTCAGGATAGAGGATCCAGGACACAGCAACAGGATTAGCCTCGACTCAGGATCTCGGCGTTTATATGGACACAAAAAAGAGATTTGGGGGAAGCTTGGTTAATCGGAACATGAGAGTACACAGGTACAAACAGCCAGAAAGACGGAGTAAGGAGCCCCCCGACAGTCCAAGCCTATAGCAGCTAAACTAACGTGTCTACGTACATGCACTCCCTTAGGATGGGTTGAGGGAAAAGGGTAGCAAGTAAGAAGTAGGAAACGGAGGTGGAGAGTCACGCAGGGAGAGAGGTCCCCATTGGAACCTGAATTTGTCAGAGGTAGGAGTGGGTCAGTGGCTACGTTCCACACTCCCCGGCCGGACTAGGCCTTCTCTGCAAGCTGTTACCCTCTAATAAACCTCGAGAGGTCAGAGAGGGGAAAGGTTTGGATAAAGTTTTAAATATAAGATCTAAGTTTTTAGGATTTAAGTGAAAGAGTAAGATATAAAAAGTAT